GTAACGTATTTAACATTTTTTCCGAAAATGTGTTGTTTTCGAAATATGTAGATTTAAAATTTTCACATTGTATACTTCCTATTTATGTATACTATACTATATAGATTTATTTTCTAAATAAGAAAAAAATATAGTCACCATGCATAAAATGAAAAATATTGGAACAGAAGACCAGACATTTTGCATGCATCTAACATTAACGAGTGCTGCATTTTCGAAAGTACAACTTTAATTTATTAGATCAAATTATAACAACATTATCACATAATAGTACTTTATGAAAGAATTCATTGTATCAAGTATTTGATCTTAGAAATTCTCTCTCTCTCTCTCTCTCTCTCTCTCTCTCTCTCTCTCTCTCTCGTATGTGCATTGATCACCGCAATGAGTTCACCGTGTGACCTTTATGAGCTGGACTATCAATGTTCTATAATTTTCAATAATGGATGCGAATTAAATATTTAAGTCTCCGAAACACAATGAACATGGTATTTGCAGTCAAATAGATAGAATACCTGCGTCGTTGAATGACGTCAGACGTTAACACTCCATTGCATACAAGATGATTAGAAAATGTAAACAATGATTTCTTGGGAATTTTAACAGAACATATCTCGATAAAAAGTTTCTAGATTTTTGCTTTAGGTAGCGTTTTTCGATTATAAAAAAATAAAATAATAAGTATATTATTCAATTTTTATACAAATACTGTTGTTATACATATTAATAACGATAATAATAATATTTTGTAAGAAGGACCAGTTCTTACAACGAATTAGGTGAAGGTGAAAACAAACCGTGCAAACTAACTAGACAAAGAACATAAAGCAACGTGTTGGTATAAAGTAGTATTTAAAAGAATGTATGTACACCGCTTGAGAAAGAAAGAAAACAAAACATGAAAAGACAAATTACGTGACACATGAAACACAAATGATTATAATACACATTAATTTCAACGTTACAGATGAATTTGGTCGGTTTATTAAATCGTTTTAATAATATGACACATTTATCGTCGCGAAATAAAGTTTACACTCAATTATGCTGCACAGATTTGTGTAATCTACAATGTACACAGACAAGATTTGCAGAACACGAGTTTTCGCTGAATAAAATAATACATATCCATAATATTAACGATTGACAATGTGAATATAAAATATTAAACTAATGGCTGGACTGCGGATATTTATGCAAAAAATGTGTTGATCAAAAGAACAGTGAAAACATTTAAAGAATTTCAGGATGTTACATTATTTTCGATTCAAGAAAATAATTAAAAAAGTGAAAGAAATGCGACTTCTGCATTTTGCAATTAACGCGGACAACTTTTATTTTGCATAAAAGTCTACGATCTAAATGAGTGTACATTTCACTGCGCAAGAAAAATCCATAACAACGTTCGACTCTGACAGCGATATTTCGTTTTCATTTTGAGAAAATAACAAACGCAGCTACCCGAGTGCCAGTGATGTAGCAAATTAATTGCTAGCTGTTCACGCTCTAAAGAACTCGATTATTAAATCAGTCTATTAGAACAACATCTCTAGAAAAAAGAAGGAGTCTCGTCGTCACGGGTTTCTATCTCGAAGCAACGATTTTTTATATGTTTTTTATACACCGCGGAGAAAGCTGAGGCACGTTCCCCTTCGGTGATCAAAATGAATATTAATTTCTAGCGAGGTAATGCATGTTCCGTGAAAATCGTTTCCGTCTTGCAACAGCTATTTATATACATAGAAGGAAGAAGGAGTAGGAATAAGAGGCAGCAATTTTCCTCGGCAGGACGATATTTGCACAACCGTGGTCCTCGTCCTTTTAAGCGACTCCGGCTTGATAAGATGTTGTCCTGTTTAACAATAAACTTTTATATCAGATCCATGACGATAAGGCGCATGAATCATTGGCTGCAGAGCTTGCTATCAACGAAAGAGAATGACAAGGTTCTATGTAGAAAAATTTCATGAGATTAACGTATCATAGGTAATCAGAGTTGGGCATTATTAACATAAAAAATTGTTTTGAAAAAACAAAGATTCGGATTAAAGATACTTTATCTTTATTTGATCGTCCGAATAAAAAAAGTACTTTTGTTCAACGAGTATCGAATAAATAATTTCATTCAACGAGAATTTATCCGACAAATAAAGATAATCTTTTTATTCTAATCGTATTTATTTGTAGCGTCGAATAAAATTTTCATCTTTTATCTGTATTTGTATTCGAAGTCTACGCGCTCGCGCGCGAATAAATCTTCGAATAATTTTTGCTACCTCGAATTATACATTTGTTCTTTACACATGTATATTGTCAATCTTCTGAAAATTTGGTTTGTATTTTTCTGCAACTATGGCGCACCATATTCTAAAATTTGGAAAAAAACTGCAGCCTATGTCGATAATATGTTGTTTCCATAAAAATATGATAGATATGCCAAACTATTTCTATAAGAAATCTACATTTTTGGGCATTTTTTATTTTGTATTACAAGGATTATTAATTTAAAAAGCAGAACAAATTCACAAAAGTGTACATTAACAGTCGTGAGATGTGATATTTCTTTCAAAATTTTCGCACGCATTTAAATGGAGATTTATGATCGTCTATCGTATCACAGCCGTTTAAATCTGCTCAAAGGTAGTTTTGATCCCCAACCGGTTACACCCTTTCTAACGCTATAAACAATTGTCAATACTGGAGTAACCTTAAACAATGGTGAAGTGTACTAAATACGGAATTAGTATGAAGAATATGGAACACGGATGATAGGTAGAAGATTATCATAAAGAAATAAACAGAAAGTTGTTTTTTGTTTATATATTTCAGAACTTTAGTAATCATATCACATTTTATCAATGTTTTAACAATTACAATATCGAAGCGGCTTGCGTTTCAAAGAATTTAATTTTGTCAATATTCTGACAGGAGTGACGAATCTTCGTCTACAGATTAGGTGGAGAACGGTGACCGGTCTAGATGAATGTACAACATTCAACGTTACTCTCTTGACGAGACTCTCAGAACGATCTTTCGACTGATACCTGTATCTTGTGCAACTTGTCTCTAATATTAATCTCAATAGTATCCGGTAGTTTATTTATATCCTCGGATAACACGTAGACTCGTCTACTAAAACTGCGAATGTGAGAGAAACGTGGCGTATCTGCGATTGATACACATTGGATGTCATCGTTGAAATATTTGATATTCATTTCGGACAATTTTTCTAGGATTAATGACTGCGGAACTTTGGGATGGACGTATAACAATATAATCGATGTCACTATCCCATTCATAGGTCTGAGCACAAGATTGCGTGAGCGTACGTGTAGAAAATGTTGAGAGGTGACGAGTTGATGTGCTAGGGCTTCTGTCTGGAGATATACCCCTATTGTTCTGTCTGGACGATACCCTGCCATTAAAATATTTAAGCGGCCGACTATTTTGCTAAGGACTTCTATGCAATTGGGAAGTGATATGTTTGCTACTGCATCTATGACAACAGCCTGCCTATCCGTTAGGGAATATATCTCTTCTGAGAGAGCAGCGACGGGTACGTTGTATGCGTTTGAGGGAAGCGTAACAGTTTCGAAATTTCTTGGGCCACTCATGGTTCCTGACTCTGAAAACAGAAGAACTGTATCCGGAAAATAGGAAAACGCGAGAAAATTTGCAAAACTCACCTATAACTTTTTGGCACTTTGTGTAACTCGATAGATTAGTATGTACGATTGGATTATTGGGACACGTGGATAAATAACACCCGAATGACCGGTCGTCGAAACTCCGTCACCGATCTCGAAGGCAGTGTGTACATATGGCGCCATCATACCGATATTCTTAGCGCACGTTCCTCGAAATCGTCCACAAATCTCCCACTCTTACTGAAAGGCGAACACCGCCGAAGTGGTGGGAATGTGCCGTGAGTAAAAAGACATTTCGGGAACTCGACAATCCCTTCCATTACTCCACTTTGGTTTGCAGACTAGTGTGTGTTTGTGTGAGGGGGGGTGGGGGGTAGTGAGGACACGAGGGACGCCGTATGATGCCGACAAATGGAAACACTGGTAAAAAATAACTAACCTACAGTACGCGACAAAAAGATAGCACACTTTAAAATTAAGTACAAATACACAAATGAAATAGAATCGAATTCCACCGGTCTAACAATTTTATTTGGAAGAAAAAGAATTTTTATCGAAATATAGTGCGACAAAATGATAGCACATTTAACTAAAAATGATGGAATAAATATAGGAATAAATCAACGAATGATATTTAATGGTTAATATTTTGTGACTCCTCCATTATATTTATTGTCAGTTATCATTATCTTCGACAATGGTTTATAGAGCTTTCTAATAGTTTTTTTGCTCCAATTGCTCCCATTCATTCGACAGTATTTTGAAATTGTCTGCAATTTGCATACACAGCTCGGTTAAGATTTCCACAGTAATTTTCAACGATATGACGTTGCTGGTCAATCCAAAACGTAATTTTTTTCTCGATAAAAATACTTTTTTACTACTTTTGCAGTGTGTACTGCGGCAATATCCTGCTGAAAAATACAGGGTGTCTCTGAAAGTATATAGAAGCGAGCATCAGGTGATTCCTCATAAAAAAGATGAAAAAAATATAGAATAACTACTTTTTGTGTGGGACTTAGTTTTCGAAAAAATCGAATTTTAATAGTTCCTTTTTCGTGAAATATCGCAAGTAAAAGATGTATCGTCTTATTGAGTCTATAAGACTGTGTAAAACAAGTTCTTTTTTAAATTAAACTATAGACGTTGAAATACCTTCAGGTAACGTCTTGTCAAACATGTTTGCAGTCTGTGCATTGTTACGTACAGGGACTTTTCGTACATTTTTCGAAAACTTTTTCTAATCACCCCTTTCGTGATCCTTAACCTTTTACCTAGTCATGTGCGTGTTAAAGGGTCGTTCATTGGGGAAAACAGTCGCCCTTTTTCGAAGCACTGCGACTGGTTATACACCAATTCCGGGAAAGTAGATGTTTGGACCACATACAAACACCTCCGCCGTCATATTTGGGCCGATTTTGACCGTATAAAAGAGGTATGATTTCATTCCTCATCGGGCAGTATTCTAGAATCAATACCACACACACACACACACAACGTGTGTATCGGGTATAATCGCGCTTAAGCCGTTTATTTTGATCTCCTTCGCATTTCTGAGTGTATCAAAGCCGAGAGCGCAGTACTTAGACTCTGCGAAATCACTTCACATCTAACACTTGTAACTTCTTAATTAATTTGGGTAATATACTATACTTAGGTCTCAGTATATCGAGTTAATTCAATTTTTTCAATTCACATTCTTTCATCGATGCCAGTTGCTAGTATCAAAGTTCACCACATTACGCTTTTGCCGCTCGAAGTGCACAAACTTAATAAGTTACGAGGCTAACTAACAATTCTTATACCTTACAACCACTTGTAGATCCCAGCGGTGAAACAAACTCATCTACAAGTTACCTTCTTGTGGGTTTCGGTGGTGAGACAAACTTCGGCTCGACCACATCCTTCTTTTATTGTGTCCCGGTGGTGAAACAAACGTCGGCTTGTCCACAATTCTTTAATCTCACCTTTCCTCCCCTTGTAGGTCTCGACGATGAAACAAACGTCAGCTAGTCTGCAAGTTACCTTTCTGTGGGTCCCGTTGGTAAGACAAACGCCGACTTGTCTAAATCCTCCTTCATTGTGGGTCCCGGTGGTGAAACAAGTATCGGCTCGTCCACAAGTAACCTTCCTGTGGGTCCCGACGATGAAACAAACGTCGGCTCCGTTCACAACCAACAAAACTCCTACATTTCTCAACAACAAAAACGGATTCTCGGTCACGCATGACTGCCTTAGCTCTCGGTTCGTAACAGTATAAACATTTTGTTCAATATATACGACTATAATTATTAAAGTGAAAATCTGGTTTAGCATAATTTTTAATGAATGCAGTTGCATAAAGCATTACTTAAGTTAAATTTACATATGCATTTAATTTGTTTACATGAAAATTATTTATATAAAATTCGTTTATAACATTTGAATTTTTTTATATACCAATACACACACGCGCATGCAATCGTGAATAAATATGTGTGGACATTTTCTAAAACGAAATAATTTTTCTAAAACTGGACAAAACGATTTGAATATTTTTGAGACGATAAAATCGTCAATTTAAAAAGGCATACAAAAATGTTTGAAAAAATGTTAATTGAGTACTAAGGTTTGAAGTTTTTTATCTGATCATGTATTTATCTGTTCTAAGGGAGATTCGTAGACCAGGCAATGCTTATTTCGGCACGGGTGGCTACCTTAAGATCAGGATAGGGTGCGTAGACCAGCCAATGCTTATTTCGGCACGGGTGGCTACCTTAAGATCAGGATAGGGTGCGTAGACCAGCCAATGCTTATTTTGGCACGGGTGGTTACCTTGAGATCGGGATAGGATTTGGGGAAATTGTAGTTAGGATGCCTCGTAACTTTTTGCAAGAAAGAATTGAAGATATACCTCGAGCGGTAAAGATATATCTCTGTAGGTTGTCACCAACGACTGCTTCGAAGTAGGAAGTGGAAATAATTGAATTTTGTAACCAAAGTAACTGGTAAAAGCTAGTATATTAAAAGTTTTGGTTTTACTACAAATGTATCTGGATAAGTGTATCGCGGACTCTATCACGTTCTCAGTTTATCGCACTGAATCGGCGGGGGCTTCTGATGCGGTATCTATTACCTACTAGATTGTTTTGCTCGAAAGAGAATTAAAACTCGATCTCGCTAGAGTTTCCACGTCGACGATTGACTCGAAACTAGCCCGCTTCCGGTCGCGTTTGGGCCCTTTATATACCTAGCTGACGCCAGCTTGACGTATACCTTCGGGAAGGAGCATAAAAAATTCGTGGGAAAATTTTCCGTACGTTACATAATGAAACTTTAAATAATGCATTCTTTAGATTTCATGCATGCCGAACTCTTTGCACTACGATTTTTTTCACAGCTATGTTGGTAAGCAGTTTTTTGTGATTAATAATTTCCGGAACAGAAAGAAACAATTTTTGTTTCTTGTAATCATGTATCAATAACTTTATTACTTTATAAATAACCTGACAATTCATTTTTAACCTCTCTTACTCGAAAGCACGATAAACCGAAACCTCCACAACTCGAAGATTTGTTTCCTTCTCTTGAAGTTCGAGATATCGAGATTCCAGTGTATCATAAATACATAAATCCACAGTCTAGTTATGAACTTTAACACGAAACGTATCATCGCTGTTCAGATGATCGATTTCACATTTTCCATTTTATAATAATTGAAATTACTAAGCTGCTTCTACTGGAAATTTTGGAATATATTTCCTCATTCAGGCACACATTGTTGTAAAAATTGTGAAAATTTAAATAAATTCAATCTTATAATATTTATACGGGTACACACAGGTACCAGTCACCTTTAGACCTCGGTACGTTTAGTGATAACACTTTAATTATGTTTTGAAATACATATTTATTGTAAAATATGAAACAAACTGTGTGTTACTAGAATTATTAGAAAATTAAAATATTAAGCTAATATTTCCTATGGTCAATTATAACTTTCTGATATTCGATACTTAACGTGTCGAACTTTTATATTTTGTTTACTATTATTGATACAGAAGGCAGGTTGTAACAAAAAAGCTTCCGACAGTTTTTTCTCGAAAATGTTCTTTTCTATCTGTTAAACATTGAATCTGTTAACTGTTGAAATGTGGTACTAATTATGACATCTATTGAATATGCTGATTACTTCGTTAATCATGTTTAATACGTGGTTTCCCATAATTATGTTAACACCCGGAAAAGGGTGATTCCTGATGTCATTTAAAATAACCCTTTCCTTAGCGAAAATGCAATTCGCGGCTTTGTTTACGAGTTATTAACGAAAAACACTGCCCAATGACAAGCGAGCTCGTCTAGTGCTAAGCGGCCGAGCCAATCAGCAGAACTGGTCTCCGACCGTTCGTTGGCTCGGTCGCCTTGCGCCAGCTGAGTTCGCCTCTCATTGGTCGGTGTTCTTCGTTAATAACTCGTAAACAAAGTCCCGGATTGCATTTTCACTAAGAAAAAAGTTACTTCAAATGACCTCAGAAATCACACCTTTGCAGTTGTGAACATAATTATGGTACATCCTGTGTATCCATGACCTTAACGGTCATTATTTCAGGATACTCAAATATGGAACACTGATAATAGGTGGATAATTATCATAAAAAAACAAGCAGAAGGTTGTTTTTTGTTCGTGTATTTCAGAATTTTAGGAATCACATTACATTTTCATTAATTATTTTAACAATTTTAATATCGAAGCAGATCTCGTAGTGTTTCGGAGAATTTAATTTTATCAGTACCCTGACAAGAGTGAGACAAATCTTTGTTTACAGATTAGGTGGAGAATGGTATCATGGTCTAGAGCGTATAATATACTATAATATACTTGATATAGTTGATATAATAATATATTTGATATATTTGATATAATATACTTAATAATTCATTTCGTCGAACCATTTATTTATGATTCGTTTCGGCGAAAGAAAAGTATTGTCCTCAAATAGCACGACAGAGTAGAAGAGTGTGAGTTCGTACTTTTATATTCTTACAAAGGGTGATGAGTTCGTCTACTATTTCTTCTGCGGTGAAATATATCCGTACTGTCTTTCCCCGTATTAATCTTGCGCAATTAATATTAATGCGATTGATATGATCGCCAGTGGCTCATATATATTCGGAAAGTCGAATTCCTCCTATTGCATCTACATCAACGGCCAGCTCATCCCTTACTTCTAAGTCTGGATTCGTATACGTCTGAGGGAAGCACTGAGATATCAGTTTCGAATTGTCTTGGGCCACGCATGATTCACTGACTCTGAAAACAGAAGAACTGTATTCGAAAAATAGGAAAACGCGAAAAAATTTACCAAACCCACCTATAACTTTTTGGCACTTTGTGTAATTCGATAGATTAGTATGCACGATCGGATTACTAAACACGTGGAGGAATAACACTTGAATGACCGGTCGTCGAAATTCCGTCATCGATCTCGGTGGCACTGTGTACATATGGTGCCATCATACCGACGTCCCCCGCGCACACTCCCCGATATCGACCATAAACCTACCACCCCTACTGAGAGGCGAACTAAGCTGATTTACGCATTGCGTTGCGTCGTGTCGTGTCGGCGTAGGCGCATCACAATTGGGGAAGTCGATTATCCCTATCTATTACTCGATACGATAATGCCGGCAAATGAAAACACTGTCAAAAACCAACTAACCTAGGACTAGTGTGAAATTCACTTAATCTAGTTACATCTAGGTGGCACGTCGGGAGCTATCAGCGTCTATCGATACGTGCTTATGGCGATACATGTCACGGGCTCTATCACGGATCATAAGGACAGTGCCTAGTTACGGTCAGCGGGCGTCAACACTATAAGGAAAATTGGGGGCACATTTTTGACTGCCATCTGAGCTAGCTGCAAACTTGGACGAACTAAAATTTAATATGGCTGCCTACCCGCATGCGCATTTCGTGGACTGTGGTAGACCATGTGCGACGCAACACCATTCCCGCCATTCTAAGCGAAGCTATGCTGATCGCAAGCGGATCAGCGAACTGCAGCAAACAGATATATGAGCCGTTTATTTTGAAAGTGGCATAAGTCACTTTGTTTTTAAATCGATATATTTAAGGCTTTGCGTTTTAACACGTTTAAAAATATGGATGCTAACTTTCGAGAAGATTTACTTGTATTTGTTATCTCAGGATACTGATATTTTTCTCAGTATAAATAATTTCGTATAAACATTAAAAAATCACCACTTTTCATTACGGTAAAGTGATTTATGCCACTTTCAAAATAAACGGCTCATATACTCGACATAAGCAGTAAGCCACATTTATTTTTATTTCCCATAGTCCCTTACATCTTTATAATAATATTTAAAGTACATATATTTTTGTTTTGAATTCTTTTAGATTGATCCATTCTATCATTGACAACGTAGCAGCGAGAACATCGGAGCCAGGAGCAACAAAAACATTGGAGCGGATAAATCAGTTTAATAAACACGTGTACGAATATATTTCATTAGAAATGGATTTTCTGTTGTATACCACTATAGAATAGAAAATAAAAATTTTATGGTGATGTACATAACTGTTTTCGAAAAAATATACTTAATACATGCTTAACCGTTTAAGTCTCAGGGGTCATTGAAAAAACACGGTCGAAAAATATTTCAAGTTTTGTTCAATAAAATTTATTGAGAACAATGAAATAAAAAATGTGTTAGTTGTATTATTTACATTTAAAAAAGCAGCTATGCGATGTACGTAAGTCAGTAAAATTGAACGCACTACTTCGACACTCTCTGAGTGCACTGTCTAGTTGTCCATAGCAGTTAAATATCTTGGCATTTAGCTCTAGAATCCAGAATTTGATTTACCGTCTTTAAACTGCCATACTGAATTTTAGTTTGTCCAAATTTGCAGCTAGTTCAGAAGGCAGTCAAAACAATGCCCCAAAAATTTGCTACGATCGAGTCCCCCTAGTTATGGTAAGGGGGTACACTAAACTTCAACCATATAAACTATAGACACGGCTTCAAATAATTTGCCCGAAGCAAAGGCGAATCTTCTACATAACGTAAATGTATGTTTAATTTTCAGACAATAAATTCGATCGATTAAATATTAAATATTTTAAGAATTATAATTTCGCAGAATCTATTTCAAGTTTAATTTAGACGTTTGAAGGAGTAAAAAGAACAATATATAGATGTCTGGAGGTAAACTATTTATTTGTAATTACTGATTAGCAAATAAAATAGTTCTCTTGTCTCTCCTCTACTTCGTTTCTTATCCTATTGTCATTTTTCTCGAAATTCTTTCCTATATAATATAATCTGATGTTATAATAATGATAACTCATTATTTTAATTAATTGTATAATCTCATTTGATTCTATATTATTGCGAACCG